TAACTGGAGAGATGAACTCTGCTCCTTCCTCCAAGAAACATCTTCAGCATCTGCAATAAACCATGATAACATGTAGCTATTTCTTGGGATTAGAACAACTGAAATAAAAAACCATTTGTTGTTTAGAGGAGGCACCCAGAGCTAGTCAAAGTGGAAGGTCTCCGAGGGAGTAGTCCCAAGGCTGCCCTTGTTTCTGATGCTGCCTACACCTCCAAGGGGTTTCAAAAGCCACCTCCTGCTTTGACCACCAGCTGGAAGGACTTACAGAACTCACTGCCCACTGATATACTCACAACTACAATTTATTACAAGGAAAGGATTAGAACCAGGCAGGGGAAGACACACATTGATCTGGTTCTAGAAAGTTCCATGCATGAAGTTTCTGGTGTCCTTAGGAGACACCGCCATTCCAGCATACACACATGACAACATACAGCCAGACAGGCGCAGCAGTGCGTGCTTGTAATCCCAGCACTCTGGAGGCTGAGGCAGGAGACCACAAGTTCAAACACAGCCTGGGTTACCTAGTGACAAGTGGGGACTGTATAAACATTTTTTTAAACATTTTAAAAATGGGGGCTAGTCAAAGGCCTTCTACTCAATCCCCAGTAGCATCCCCCAAAACACAAAGAATATTGCCAACCATGAAAGCTGCTTCTCTATCCAGAGCTTTTCCTGGGGCCTCATTACATATGTTGGCCTTGTGGATGGATTTTACTTCCAGCATTTCCCCTCTCCTGGTCTGAGAGCCCCCCAGGACTGACTCCATTAGCCCAGAGTACCAGATATGCTCACCAAGTATAACAAAGTCCCTATCACTCCATTCTCAGGAAATTCTAAAGTGTAGAAGTTACCTCCAGGAACGAGGGACAAAGACCACACCTGTAAAGGCCATTCCCAAGGGAGAAGAAGAAAGAAATACCCAACAGTTTTGCTTGGGGAGTTTACTGAAGGGCAAAATCTTCCAAGCAGTGGTGTCTAAGAAGTATGCTGATGCCCTCAGGGGGCAAGTCAGTGGGTCACCTGGGTCCTGCTCCTTATGCCTGAGTCCATCTTGGACTCATCATTTCTCAGACCTGGATTCCAGACCTTGATTGCTTCCCTCTTCTCTTCTGCTTATGAAGCTCACTTATCTATGCAAAGCTCCTTTCATGCTCGAAATTCTTTGTGAAGTATGACAGTTTTAAAACATAATTCTAAGCACCTTTTGTAGCTGTTGGGAATGCAAAATATTGTGACCACTTTGGAAGACAAAGTGTTTGCTTTTTTAAAAGAAAATGCTAAGCACCCTGATATACAATCCAGCAATCATGATCATCAGTATTTACCCAAACACAAGTTGGAAACTTAGGTCAACACAAAAATCTATACAAGGATATTCATAGCAACTTTGTTTATAATTGCCAAAACTTGGAAGTAACCAACATGTCCCTCAGTAGGTGAATGGATAAACTGGTTCAGCTGGGTAGTGTAATATGACTCAATACTGGAGAGAAAATGGCTTCTAGTTTACGAAAAGACATGGAAGGATCTTAAGTACACATTACTACGTAGAGGAGCCAATACAAAAAAGGCTGCATACTATATGATTCCAACTGCACAGTAGTCTTGTAAAGACAAAACTATGGAGATAGCAAAAAGAGAGAGGTGGAGGAGGAAGGAATGAATAGGTGGACAGCATAGGATTTTGAGGGCACTGGAACTTCTCTGTGAGAAACCTTAACAGTAGATACAATTCATTATACACTTACCCAAACCCACAGAATGTGCAACACCAAGAGTGAACCCAGATGTAAACCACGGATTCTGGGTGACAATGATGAATCCAGGAGGGTGCGTCACATACAGCAAATGGACCGCTCTGATATAGGAGCTGAGAAGCAGGGAGGCTAGGCATGTGTGGGACCAGGGGACAGAGGACAAATTGCTGTACTTTCTGTTCAATCTTACCGTGAACGAGAAACTACTCTTTTAAAAATCAAGTTCATTACAAAAAAATAGCTGCAGATTCTTTGACACTCTTCCCATGGGAAGACAGGTCATTCTGCGTACCCTCCTATTAAATCTGGGTGGGCTTGGGACTGCATCATTTCCAGAGCTGGGTTAGGAAAGGAACACTGCTTCCACTTTGTTTGCTGGGACTCTCTCACCATTAGAACATTAAACCACTGTATAGGAAGTACCCGTGCTATCAGAGGCTCAGTCCACTTGGAGACACCACATAGGGGCTTTCCAGACTCAGCCCCAACTGAGATCCCAGTGGCAGCCATTATCATCTCTCAACATAGAAGCATGGAGGCCTCAGGGTGATTGCAGTCAAACCAGCCATGGCAGAACAGAGGCCAGCAGTCCTGTTGTGTCTGGTCCAAAACTTCGTGACTCACAGAATCCATGAGCATTTTGCGCCATTAGAGTTGGGGTCATTTGTTATACAATAATGATAATCCTAAACACAAAGCTTACATAAAAGAGTGGTTAAAGGGGTGCTCCAGATCCCCTCCACCTGATTCCCCCACTTTCCACCTCTTTGGCCTTGGATGAACTATTTCATCTCCTTGTGGCTTGTTTTTCTTATTTTTAAAGTGTGCATACTATTTGTACCTATGTCACTAAAGTTACTATGAATAGAAAGCAGCTTAGAAAACACTTAGAGCACCACGTGGTACCCAGGAAGCCTTCTGCACACACTAGCTGCTTCTATTCCTAACACTTCCGGGACCACACCAGCCTGTGGTGGCTCTTCCTGTTCAATTCCTTTTCTGACACTGTTCATCTCTCCCCCAGACAACTCCTGATTTGTCTTGTGTCTCTGATTGGGTTGTTGGTGTCTGGTCCAAACAAATGAAGGAACAGGATACCCCTTCTGGATGGATCATGGTGTATTTAACCAGCGTCTATGGCTGTATCTAATTTTCCTTTGCTATTACATGCAGCATGTATCTGGTCCAAACAAGGATGTGCTCAGAGCTTTGCACAGAATAGAATTTTAGTAAGTATATGTTGACTAAGAAAAAAGTAATGCAAAGACAACATCATGGTTGTCTCGGTGCTCAGTACTACTGAGTGAACACTGCAGAGGAGTAGTCATGCTCCACTCAGGGGTGGTGGGCACAAGATCACCCCTTTCCCTGATGGTTCACCTTTCCTAGTATGCTGTTCATTTACTGTCTGCTGTTCCAGTCTTCTTGGAAGGATGTAATTCAATGAGTTCCTTCCACCCTCAGTGTCAAGAATACTTAAACCTCTAATTGTGTTTCCTGGTAAATAGCTGTTCGGACAGGAAATCCACAAGTGCAAAAATTTCTAGCATTCCTCACTATTGACATGGGCAGGGGAAATTGTTTCTGCTTTGTACTGCTGGTGTGAGAAATATCTTGATGCAAGCATTTTGGAAAGTAAATTGGCAATATGCATTGAAAGCCTTAAAAAAATGCATACGCTATTCTGAGAATTTGTTCTAAAGAAATAAGTTGTATAGCAGCAAAAAAGTCTTAGTGGAGGGATGGGAGTTCACTACAACATGGTCTGTAATAGCAAAGGAAAATTAGATACAGCCATAGAGGCTGGTTAAAAACACCATGATCCATCCAGAAGGGGCATTCTATCCCTCCATTTAACAAGTATTTATCAAGAGCCTGCTCTGTGCTGGGCATTGTTCCAGAAATGAGAGAGATGCAGTGGGCTAGACAGACAGAAATCCTGCCCTGGTGGGGCTCACACACTATGCAGAATAAAGACAAAAAACACTTTTTAAAAAGTACATGTGGTCCCATGGAAGGTGATACTGGACTGCAGAGAAAAACAAAGCAGGGCAGAAGATGGAGAACATGGGGAGAAGGGCACTGGAAAGGAGTGGAAAATACTAGATAGGGGAGTTGGGTAAGGGCCCCTTGAGAAGAATTAAAGTAAAATAAATTTTACTTTCTTTGTGCTTGGGTGATAAAGTTGGTCCAAAGAAGCCTCTGTGCGTATTGAACAGTACTTTAGCTTGACATGTAAACAAACTGTAATGTAAGTGTAGACTCCTGTAACCAAGAAACTGAGTCTTAGCCAATCACAGTAGTCAGGCTTCAGTCAATCATGTCCAAGGGATCAGACCATGTTCACATAACACAAATGCTGACTGCAGCCAATGAGGTTGCTCCTACACTTTGCTCCCTTTTATTTGGCTATAGATATAGCCCAGGGGGGGTGGGGACTGGGAGAACCTGGCACCATCATCCGTCTTCCCTAGTTCAAGAACCTTTTTCTTCTCCAATTAAACATCATCAGATTTAACTGGTCTCAGTTTTACTTTTGTCAAAGGGTGTTATAAAAATCTGAAGGGAGCAAGGGAGCAAACTTCAGCTGTCTGGGGAGAGTGTTCTAGCAAGAAGTGACTGCAAGGCTGGGACAGCTTGAAGGAGCGGCAAGGAGGCCACCCCAGGGGACACAGAGTGAGCAGGGGAAAGAGAGGTTGGTAAGGAGCTGCCGGATTGCTTAGAGTCTTATGGACTGTAGATCAAGGATTTTAGAACTTACTTTGAAGGAGGGGACACCAAGTGCAGTGACAGAAGAGGCTGAGATGAACTGGTCTACCTCGAGCATTCAAAGGATCACTGACTACTGTGCTGAGCACAGTTTTAAAGGAACAAGGTCAGAAAGGACACCCGTTAAGAAGTTCTCCAATATTCCATGCTTGAGGTAGCAGCAGCTTAGACCAGGGTGGACGTGGTTGCCAGCTTCTCACTGTATTATGACAGGGCAAGAGGATTTGCCTCCTTACAGAGTATGATTAGAAGACAGAAGTAAAAAAAGGGTCAGTCATTCTGATGGAAGAGCGGGAGAAAATTTGATGATCTGAGAAAATCTTCACAATGTTTTTCTAAAGAAAAATAACCTTATCAAACAATGTGTTAAAATGATTCTATTTTTGGAAAGGAAAATACATGTGTAAATAGACACGTACAAAAAGTCCTGAAGGATGTCAGCTGAACTGTGAATGGTGTTTACTTCCAAAATGGGATTATTAATGATTTTTATTCTCTTTTGCCTGTACTGTCATGCCCTCTGTAATCGTGTGCTGGTCAGTGATGGGCTGTATATATGGTAGTGGTCCCATAAGATCATCCTGCCCAGGGATGTTATCTTCATTTGTGTAAGTATGCTCTGTGATATTTTCCAGATGGTCCAGAATATTCAGCAATGCCTAACATTATTTAACTTCTACTTTCCCCAACATGAATTTGCATTGCTTTTTAGGGTGGGGAGGATGAGGTCTCACTATGTTGCCCAGGCTGTCCTTGAAGTTCTGTGCTCAAGGGATCCTCCTGCTTCAGTTTCCTGAGTAGCTTGGACTCAGACAATCACGTCCACTTGCATTGCTTTTTACCTAAAAAAAAAAAAATGAAACAAATCATTTAAACCTGATGTCCTCACTATTGTCCCAACCCTATGTGTCAGTACAGGATCTTCTAAAAGGGATCTAGGTTTCCCTTTTCCATGGTCTTCTCTGTTTTACTGAAGGTGTTTTACTTGATGATCTGAGAAAATCTTACTACTTAAATCAGCTACTTAACAACTTACAGCTTCAGAAAAAAGATTGTAAACATTTAGAAATTCTCATTTTATTTCCCAGGAGGGAGGGCTGTGCCTCAAGAACCCATGTTATGTAGATGCATGGAAATGTTGTAGTGGCAAAATATTCTAGGATTACATTTGAATTTTTGATTCATACCAGATTTTTAGATCAGGCTAACGTAGTGCCCAACCAGTGCCAAGAATGAGTATGGACACCAAGTGGAAATGTGACTCCATCATGTTGTTGAGGAATGCTCTTTGCTTGGTTAGGGGAAGCAAGACACGAATGCGGGAAAATAAGAAAGTATCCAGTGTAGTCACACTGTCGGTGTTCACAGGTAGGTGGAGTGTGCTGGAGTAATTCAGGAATAACTACCGAATCTGGAGGTTGTGACAGCTGACTTCAACCATAAAGGAAGAGAAGGGAAGGATAAGGGTTTCCAAGGGGAGGTGAGGAGGACATTCCAGATTATAAACCATGACAGCTGCTTTGGAGACATCCTCTCAGGAACATTCAACCTTCCCTTTGGTGAGAGGCTCCTGCACTTCTAGCACAAAGAGGCAGCTACCCCTGTTCTCTTTGCCCATAGAAACTGTCCCATCTACCTGAATTGAAAGTCTGTAAGAGCGAGGATTGTTTAATCCTTCTGTTTTTCAAATGAACAGTTAAAATGAAAACTTTAAATTATGTGCATGATGATATTTATATGTTTAAGAAATGAATTTCTTTAGCACAATAATTTTAACATTGCCAGTCTTGCAGTTAATGACTAAATAAATGACTACTACTTTTGGGTTTGGTAAATATTTCTCCCTCCATTATCATACATTCTCTTATGGGAGCCATAGACTGAATTGTAAACTCAGCACAGAGAATTGTTTTAAGTTTATTTTATGCAATATTTAGGAGAAACTTCCTGTAACACCCATTAGGGGAGATAATGGATTTTTTTCCTTTTCTAGAAAGTCTGTACTCCTATAGCAGTCATAAAATGAGCATTTTATACACTCTGGACCTGGGTCTCCCCAGGTTCCAAATTGAGCAGATTTAGAAATAGGCACGAGAACAATTTTCTGCTATTCTGTAAATACCCAGCCTTTGCTACTGCCTGTAGAACAGAAGAAAAATATCTACTGTGTAAGACAGGGTAACAGGAACCCCTGCCAGTCTGCATGGAAGTGTGAACTGCCAATCAGTGGGGTAAACTGAGTCTGTGACTGAGACTTGGCAGATGAGACACAGGCTGAGGGTGGCTTTGGGTCCAGATATTTCTCTCTCAGGGACACCACCATCACTGACAAATTCATTGAGAGTCAAGTGGCATCTACTGCACACTGGAGAGGTGGCTGATATGTGTACTCATCAAGGGCACAAACTACCTCAGTCACCAATGTCACCTGGTGAAAAGGTGGAGCCCTCTCTCTCCCAGCCCCTTTCCACCTCTGGATTTTTCCCAAAGCACCTATCACCATCAATATTAATGATGGTTCTCCAGAGACACAGAATCAATAGGAATTCTAGAAGCATAATAAGAAAGAGGAGAGCCAGATGTAGCGGACGTGGTGCATTAGCATGCACCTGTAATCCCAGCACTCGGGAGGCTGAGGCAGGAGGATGGTTGTGAGTTCAAGGCCAGCCTTGGCTACATAGTGAGTTAAAGACCAACCTGAACTGCATAGCAAGACCCTCTCAAAAAGGGAGAAAAAAATAAGAAAGAGGAAAACTATTATAGGAATTGGCTCATGCAGTTATGGAGACCAGAACGTCTCAAGACGCATCACCCGCAAGCTAGGGAGGCATGAAAACTGACAGTGGAATTCAGGCTAAATCTCAAGGCCTGAGAACCAGGGGAGCAAACAGAGTTAGTCCCAGTCTGAGGCCAAAGGCCTGATGGGGAATGTGAGTCCCAGAGTCCTTGGGCCCAGGAACCAGAAGCTCATATGTCCAAGGGTGGGAGAAGATGGGTGTCCCAGCTCAAGAATGGAGAGAAAGTTTCACCATTCTCTACCTTTCTTTCCATCCAGGTGCTCAGTGAATTAGTGGTACCCACCCACATTGGTGAAAATAGATCTTTACTCAGCTTACTAATTCAAATGTTAATCTCTTCCAGAAACATCCTTAGAGACATACCCAGAAATAGTGTTATCTTAGCTATCTGGTAATCTCTTAGCCCAGTCAAGTTGACACATAAAGTTAACCTTCCCACCATCTAATTCACTTAATATTTGCTTATTTTATACTGCTTACCATCTGCCTCCCTCCTTTAACATGCAAGCCCCATGAAAGCAGGGATTTTTGACTATTTTTGTGTGGTATGGTCCCCTGCCTCTTTTCACCAATGCACCATCTGTCACTCAATAAATCATGATAAAAATGAATTGTCCCAATATCTATGACAGCACCTATGGTACAGTGGGTACTCAATAAATAATTGCTGAATGTAGAAGAGTTTATACATTTTATCTTATTTAATTCTTTTTTTTCTTTTATCTTTTTAAGACAGGGTTTTGCTATGCAGTTCAGGCTGGCTTGGAACTCTCTTTGTAGCCCAGCCTGGCCTCAGACTCACAGTGATCCTCCTGCCTCAACCTCCCAAGTGCTGGGATTACAGGCATGCACCACCACACCAGGCTATCTCATTTAATTCTATATGATAGGCAATGTTACCACAAATTTAGAAATGAGAAAGCTGAGGCTCAAGCAGGTGCAGTGGCTCGCTCAGCATCATATGAGCAGGTAATGATGGGAAGAGGAAGGTAAGCTACTTCCATCCAGTCCCACAACTCTTACAATGAGGCGAAGGTGAACAGAATTGTTTAGTGCGTAATTTGGAAAGAGATCCATTGAAAATGCATAGATTTACTGATATCCACATGTACATTTAATTACAGCTTGTAAACACTAACAGCCTAGAGGAAAAAAGTCTAGGTTCTCTTTTGTAGTTATCTGTTCATCCTCAGATTGCTTCCCCATTATCAAAATGTATTAAATAATGAGTATGGGTTATGGTCAAGCTCTGTACACCTGTGTGCAAGAAATGATTCCATCTCCAGTGAGCCTATAATCTTTCAGAGGAAAGAAATAATAAGCAAAGTACATTCCATGTTATGTTACAGAATGGTCAGTATTATGGGTCTCCCAGGGAACTGAGCGAGGTAAGGGGAACCAAGGGTGCCAGGCAGAGTAAGCAGAGAGGAGACTCCAGACCAGGATTTGAAAGATGTGCAGAATGAGCCACACAGGGAAGACTTCCAGGGAGGAGGAATGACCAAGGCAAGGGCTCTACACAGAAGTGTGCCTAGCATGTTTAAGAAGGACAGGAGGCAGCATGCCTGCAACATGGTGAACAAAGAGACAGAATTAAGAGGCAGGGTGAATGCTATGGCTTGGGTAAGGGTCCCCCAGGCTCATGTGTGAAAGCCTTGGTTGGCAGCCTAGGGCACTGTTGGGAGGTAGTGGAACTCTTAAGAGGTGGGGCTTAGTGGAAGGGAGTTAGGTCTCTGCGAGTATGCATCCAAGGGTGTGGATATTGGGCTCCCAGCCCCTTCCTCTCTTCTACTTCCCAGTGCCAGAAAGTGAGGCTCCTCCTCCTCCCTGTGCTCCCACTATGACACTGAGCTGCCACAGGCCCAACAGCAATGGTGCCACATGACCATGGACTGGAATCTCTGGAATTGAGCCAAAATAAATCTTTCTGTTCTATAAGTTTATTATCTCAGGTATTTTGGCACAGTAACAGAAAGCTGACCAACACAGTAAGGAAGGTTAATGGGACCAATCCTCCAGCACAGTGTTAACCATACAAGGACATCGGCTTTTATCCTGTGACAGATGGAAAGCCATGGAAGGGCTTCATCAGAGCAATGCACACATGCACATGGACTGTAAGGAATCATGGTATCCACATAGGAAGACATAACTGAATCACAAAAATATTCTGAAGGCAATCATTAGTTGAAGATATCTTATTTATAAAGTAAAAAATCAAGAGAAGGAGTGAATAGCCTAATAAACATGCTGCAACTACAGAAACAAAGAACAGAATGTGTACATTTTCATGTTTAGAGGGAGGGAACATGCACATATTGATCATATCTGCTGTTGGCCACACTTTCAAGAGCCACATACACAGTAGTACCCCGCCTAATCTGCACTTTCACTGTCTGTAGCTTTAGTTATCCATGGTCAACTGTGGTCCAAATATATTAATTGGAAAATTCCAGAAATAAACAACTCAAAACTTTTAAATTGCATGTGATTCTGAGTGGCATGATGAAATCTTGTGTTAAGTATGGGCACTGCCCGTTATCCAGTGTTTCCATGGTGTATACACTACTGACTGTTGGTCACTCAGTAGTTGTCCTGGTTACGAGATCAACTGTCACGGTATCCCAATAGCCTAAGCCTGTGTCACCACAACACAGCATTTATTTAACCATAATCATTTACCTCACTTCATTACATGCCCTGTCACACCATCACAAGAAGGGCTAGTACAGTGCAATAAAATATTTTAAGAGAGAGTACATTTAGCTTTTACTACAATGTAATGTTTAAATTGTTCTATTTTATTACTAGCTATTATTGGCAATCTTTTAGTGCACATAAGTAAGCTTTATTGTAGGTATATATGTATTGAAAAAAACATGGTACACAAAGGTCTGGTACTGTCCTTGACTCTGGGCATCCACTGGGAGACATGGAGCTCTTGTCCTCCATGGACAAGAAGCTACCATTGCACATGATTGCAAGGGTTCCGTGAACCATCATTTGAAAACCTGTGTTAACCCATCCCCTTTGTTCCAGAATGT